AACAAGGAGAGATATTTCGTTTGTGTTAAGAATGGTTGGTTTATTTTCTTTGTGAAACGTTGAAAAATTGATAAAAGAACGATGTGAGAGTACTGAAAAGTTTTTCTCTCTTTAGCTTAAAATGTATTTATTTTAAAAAGATTTATTTATTGAAGAAAAATGGGAATTATTTTCAATTGACGATTCAGAGAAATGTATGGCAGTTTGTGTTATCACAGCTAACAACTGGTGAACTTATACCAAAATGTGTTAATATGAATTGTCCTGTTACTTCTATCTATTATACTTTTCTTTCTCTGAATGCACCAAATTTTGATAGCTTCAAATTAATTAAAGTTTCAAGAAAAAAATATAATGGCAACTTTTAAGCATTATGAGTTTTTAAATGTTAAATTTCCAATTTCAAATTCAATAAAACTAAAAGCAAGTTACAAAATCACATCTAATGACCAGTTGTGTGGAAACAAAAATTTGTCGTGGATGATAATTTAATTTATTTGGGAGGGATTGATGATCGCAGGAAAATTTGTAGGGAAAAAGTTGAATGTAGATTTGTGTAAATTTGTGAGGTAACAGACGAATATGATAATTCCTTTATTAACATAAGAAATAGTACAATAACTTGATGGAGAACAATTGAAATTGAACTCTCTTTTTGGTAAAAAACACACGATGCCCCTTTCAGCAAGGATGACCTGCTTATATAGCAAGCAATGCGCGTAAACAAAGCATATGATTTACAATAAGAAGTTAGTCTGCCGAAAGAGTACCGGTCTAACAAAAAGCTGTTGATCTGATTTACAAGCAAATCTAATTACTAATTGACAAACCGCAAAGAGCATTTACTTAAGTAGAAGTTGTGAACCTAGTAGATTCAGGATAATTTACAATTAGTAGTGATCAACAATGAAGTCAACTAAATGAGGAGCTGATACTATGTAAACAATATAAGGACGATTTACAGATTAAATATAAGATTGCAAACAAAGAGTCCAAAGATAAGCATTACTGCAAAGAATTTCATAGAACATATTTCTTATATATATTCACAAGTCTCATATCATATTTTAGAGTTTCGCGATATTAAAATCCGCGACACTCTTGATAGAGAATCTAATTTCGAGATTTCGAATGGAGGATTTGAGTCATTCTTCGTTTTTTATTGAAGTTTGTTTTTTTAACACTTCTAGTTCGTTGAGCTATTGGTTTCTCTCATTTATCAATTCCATTTATTATATCTTTCGATATTGTTGATTTGTCCTTCGCATCTTCTTTTTGTTTGAATTTCCAATGGACATAACATATTAATAGATCGATTCATTAATCTTCCTCGTAGTAACCCTATTAGAGCACTTTCTATCTTATCTTTATCCTTTTTATATTGAGTTTCTTTATTTTTACTAATTTCTAGGTACCATGATTCGCTTACTACTACAATTTCTTCTTCAATTGGGGCTCTATGCATATGCAGCTGAAGAAGCATCTGCAAAAACATGAATTCCTGTTGGTAGTGATATGTCTATTACGACACGTTGTATATCTTTCACGTATATTAGCCATGCACATATAAGAGATTCCCAGTTCTTATCCTCCTTACTTATTAACTGGTCTCAGCTTACTTTCTCTTTCCAGAGATTTTGAAGAAATAATTTTATCAGCATTGTACATGGAGCTAGAAATCCTAAGAGATCATATTGAGAAGCTAGGAACTATAATATTGTCCTTTTTGTTGGTAATTGATCCTTCCAAAGTTTTAGGGTTATTTGAATTATGTCTTCATCTGAGTTCCAATTGATACCAAGAATCTTTTTAAACTTATTTGTCTCCGCTTGATCTTGTTCGGGAATCTTAGAAATCTTGATCTTGTTCGGGGATCTTAGAATTGAATTCTTTGTTGTTTGATAAGAATTCTCTAACATTCATTGAGGCATTGTTAAAGATGTTTTTCATTTCTTGATATTTGTGTAGAGCTTCATCGATACACGTGGTTAATACTATAATGTTGTCGACATAAAGATTTTTCCTAATCTCGTTAGCGAGTTCATTGTCGTAATTCTCCAAATGACAGTTAAGTGTAGCCGATAATAAAAATGGTAAAGGTATTACTTCAAATGGGACTCGTTTAAATCGATAATGCTCAATATTATCTTCTGTTATTTTATCCTTTAACCAAAAGAATCGTGTACAGTTTCTTTCTGTTGGTAGTAACTCCAACTGCAAAAAGGCTTTCTCAATGTATGCTATTATTACGCTATTATTATTTACGGATACGAAGCAGTACTCCTATTAAATCAGGAAGAGTTATGGGTCATCAGTATAATACATCCTTAAGACTTTTTTCTCCTTTTTGGTGTAACAATGCATCATACACGATTCTAATTTTGGTCATAGCCTTGTTTGGAGTTATAACTTCATGATGAGGTGGATAATGAATAATACCAACTTGGCTCATCTCTGCGCATACCTTCTCGATAATGTCAGGTTGTAACTGATCACGAATCGTTTCGTTATATTTCAGAAATAAACATTCATCATTCTGAAGTCGTTTAGTTCAAGATCTTAGACGACTAAAACACTATCCGAAATTGTTGTTTAATTTGACTCTGGATTCTTTCCATGGCCAGGCAACTTGGTATCTACCATTGTTTTTTGTTATATTTTATTTGAACTTTTCTAAAACTTGCTCATCATCCTGTAGATTAGGTTGTTCTTATATTCCTATAGGAATATAAGAACAACCTAATCTAGAATCGACTTCCAAAATCGACCATTCTCTGGAATGTCAATATTAATAAGTGTAATGTTGGTATGATCCTTATTCTGAATGGAACAGCATGTGCTCTGTGTTACTATCTTGTTGAGGTGATTATCACGCTCACGATTATTGTGCATGTTTATGTATCCACTTCCAGCAATCATAGGGCCGACTATTGTATTTATTAAAGAAAACCCAGAATTTATAGTTTGGGTTTTCTCTAAAGAGATAAATTTGAAGAAATAGTCAACTTCAATAATTAAGTCAGGTTATTTCCAACTGCTAATTTCCTCTGTTAATGGAAACTGAGTCGAAATATCTGATGTATTGTCTTGGTCTACAGATATAACCCTTATTTTGTTTGTTGTATAGTCGACTATTGTGGCATAATAATATCTTTTTCTATCGTTTTTCCAATTCGCAAAAAGCGATGTTTGAGGATTTCTATTGCCGAATCCCGCGAATGTCATTTTTCATAATTAATATCTTCTAAATGTAATCTTTTTGTTATTTTCTTCGATATACACATTGCTTGAGCACCACTACCAAGCAAAACTATAATTTTATTTGAAACCTCTGCTTCAACTTCTTTGTTAAAAAGCAAGACTTCTCTGTCATTTCCTTTCGAATGCTTTATTATTGAATTGATTACCTTTGTCGTCTTTCGATCTTCTTCGATTGGCTCTACTGATTGTGCTTGATCGTTATACTTAGTGCAGCATAATATAGTATTATGGTGAACTTTGCAATAAAAACATACATGTTTTCTTGTCTTGCAATTGATTGTCGTATGTCCTGGTTGAAGACAGTTTAGATAGACAATTAGTTGTTTTCGTTCAGTCGTTGCATTCTTCGTTCTAGATTAGGATAGGTTTGACATTCATTATCCCAGTGGTTCCTGTTGCAAAAAGCACATGGTCTTTGAGTTTCGTATTAGCCTTTTTATGTGTTTGCGGTGTTATTACGGTTAGACCGAAGTTTCTTTTGTAAAATATCGCTGATTAGTTCGTGGACCAATTTTACTTTTAGATTTGCTTTGCTCTTTTATGATGTCAAAGAATTGGCTTCTTGTAACTTCTCCGTTTCTTTGGATCAGTTTTGCTAAGAATTGTCTTAACTTAGCTACTAATCATATTTTTTGTTTCTTTTGTTGATACACTCTGTCCAGAATCCGGAGAGGCAGTTTATTTTCAATAATAATTTCAATACTGGATTGTTCGAGATTTTCACCCATTGCTTCAAGTTGTCGAATTATTCTTTCAGTAACTTTAACTTTTACCTTCCATTCTCGATCATTCTTCTTGACGGAATATAACTCATTGTAGAGCGATTTGTTAATGATCTGTGATTACCCAAATTTTTTAATAAAGACTTTTTGTAATTTTCTGGGATTATATCATAACCTCTAACAACCAATAAGGCATCTTCCTTTAGACGTGCAATTAAATAATCTAATTTTTGGATGTCTGGTATTTTTTGTAAATGGACTGCAGCTTCAAAGCTGCTCCAGTATCCTCTCCACATCTTAGGATTACTACTCAATGTAGACAACGGTAATTGAGGTAAGTTAACAGTTGGGTAAGGGATTATTTGAGTTGGCTGCTCTTTATTTCGCCTTCTTTAAGACGCTGGATTACTAACTGTGAATCATTCATATTGTCGTGAAAGACGAAAGATTTAAATTATTATATCCAAAACTAACAAATTACTCTTATCTGATTCCTTTTCCTCACACAACAAAAACCCTTTGTTAGCAAACCCTTTGTTAGCAAAACCCTTTAGTAGCAGTCTTTGTTTCATATCATTTAAATGTCCTCCTCTGCGGAATATCTGGTCAGTTCAGTTCTGTATATAAACTAATCTTGTTAACAATCTTCTTTGTTCATCCATGAGAAATCCTCCCATCTAATATCCATTTGTTAAATCAGTCTTATATATAAACCAACCAATCCTTCCATAACCATCATTTGCTTTATGTTTTGGGTGGTATTGGGATGCGTCTAATACTTTAAAATTTTGTGTTATTTCACCATTTTTATATCATTGCATTTTTTATAGTTTACGCGTTTGTTAATCGGTGTAGCATCCGTACGATATGTATAAAGCGCTATTATTTGCTTCATGTTAAATAAAGGTTTAATTATCCAAGTTTGAGGTTTCACGACACATATACATACTTAAGGTTATGATGACTTCTTTACCTTCACTTATTAAGTTTAAAATACCTCTTTTATCTTCGACCATTTTAGTATTTGTCTTCCTCTTTTTTTCTCTTCGTTGCTGAAACTTGTTGTATGCATTGGACCCAGTTAGCATTAATTGTCTCAAGTGTGCCAATATGCATTATTTTTTTTTCAATAATTCCTTTTCGAGCCTCGTACTGTTGACGGGTTTCTTCTCCGGTCAACATTTGCTCCGAAGCCGTCAGATCCATTTCTTGGATTTCTTTGAGAAGAGCTAATTTTTCTTTTTCGGTCATGCGTTTAGTACTATAATTGAAGACATTTCCCGGTTCATGACACCAAAACTAACAAATTTTTATAAAACAATAATTTATTTGTAAAAAATGTCAGTTGTGTACTCATAGTCATTGCAATTACAATTAATATATTTTCAATAATCCTACAAAAATTATTTACTTTCTAATTATAATATGTACAGTATAGTCTCATTAAAAAAAATTATTTTAAATGAAATAATGACGTAGAATATTTTGTTTTCATTACAATAAAATGTTATCAAAAATAAAATTATGAAAATGGCATTTCTTAATGAATTATGCGGTACATTCATTCGATATGAAAATGAGCGCTAATATTAATTAAAATTACATAAATTTGAATTTATGTGATTCATTGATCTAAAATACATTTCAATTTCAAATCAATGCTTAAAATTTTTATCGTAAACTAGTTTTTTTTTTGGCTATTTGAAATTTAATTTTTTTTTCTTCTTCTTTTTGGCTATTTGAATTTAATTTTTGCACCAATAAAACAAAAACGAATATCATAATATAACTTTGAATATTTCACATTTTTTAACAATTTCAATGGTATTAGTGTTAAACTTAATATATGAAAGATTAGGATATTAGATCATTTCCAGTTTCTATTCTTTTAGATTATTATTGTAGTTGCAAAAACGGCAAAATGGATGCAATCACAATAAAATACATAAACACTTCGCTTTTCATTTCTTTCACTTAATTGTTAACTTAATTATAATGTAAATAAGGAAGCAGATGTAACGTTCTTGTTTTTTTTCTCTCTCTCCCTCTTTTACTTTTTTTTGTCTGATCAGCATAGTCTCTGCTATATCGTAATCAACTTTAGTCATATATTTCTTTTTTACGGATAATGGTTCTAGCCACACTAATTTCTTTTTGCAGGTTTGTTTAATAAATCTAAAAGTCCAAACAGTTACTCGAACTAGTTTTGTCCAACTGCTGAAGCGACATACGTCAATAAATTCAATTATATTCCTTTTAAAGGTTTGAGTCATCTTTGTTAAATTCAAAGCAATTGCTTCTGCAAATTCATCGTTTCCTGAATAGCGAAGTTTGCACTTTGGCCAATTAGATTTCTTGAGTTCCAACCATCGAAGTCCTTTCCACCATTGTTTACAATTTTGCAATTCTGTTATACTTAGATTGTAATTCTGTTATACTCAGATTATAATTCTGTTATACTCAATTATACTCAGATCATAATTCTGTTATACTCAGACTATAATTCTGTTATGCTCAGATTATACTCAGATTATAATTCTGTTATACTCAGATTATAAATCTGTTATACTCAGATTATAAATCTGTTGTGCTCATACTCAGATTATAATTCTGTTATACTCAATTGTACTCAGATTATAATTCTGTTATACTCAGGCTATTATTCTGTTATACTCAAATTATAATTCTGTTATACTCAGATTATACTCAGATTATAATTCTGTTGTACTCAATTATACTCAGATTATAATTCTGTTATACTCAGATTATAATTCTGCTCTACTCAGATTATGATTCTGTTATGCTCAGATTATAATTCTGTTCTACTCAGATTATGATTCTGTTATACTCAGATTATAATTCTGTTATGCTCAGATTATACTCAGATTATAATTCTGTTATACTCAGATTATAATTCAGTTATGCTCATACTCAGATTATAATTCTGTAATACTCAGATTATAATTCTGTTATACTGAGATTATAAATCTGTTATACTCAGATTATAATTCTGTTATGCTCATACTCAGATTATAATTCTGTTATACTCAATTATACTCAGATTATAATTCTGTTATACTCAGATTATAATTCTGTTATACTCAGACTGTCATTCTGTTATGCTCAAATTATAATTCTATTCTACTCAGATTATGATTCTGTTATACTTAGATTGCAATTCTGTTATACTCAATTATACTCAGATTATAATTCTGTTATACTCAGATTATAATTCTGTTATACTCAGATTATGATTCTGTTATACTCAGATTATAATTCTGTTATACTCAGATTATAATTCTGTTATACTCAGATTATAATTCTGTTATACTCAGATTATAATTCTGTTGTACTCAGGCTATTATTCTGTTATACTCAGATTATAATTCTGTTATACTCAGATTATACTCAGATTATAATTCTGTTGTACTCAATTATACTCAGATTATAATTCTGTTATACTCAGATTATAATTCTGTTATACTCAGATTATAATTCTGTTATACTCTGATTATGATTCTGTTATACTCAGATTATAATTCTGTTATACTCAGATTATAATTCTGTTATACTCAGATTATAATTCTGTTATACTCAGATTATAATTCTGTTGTACTCAGGCTATTATTCTGTTATACTCAGATTATAATTCTGTTATACTCAGATTATGATTCTGTTTTACTCAGATTATAATTCTGTTATACTCAGATTATAAATCTGTTATGCTCATACTCAGATTATAATTCTGTTATACTCAATTATACTCAGATTATAATTCTGTTATACTCAGGCTATTATTCTGTTATACTCAAATTATAATTCTGTTATACTCAGATTATAATTCTGTTCTACTCAGATTATGATTCTGTTATACTCAGATTATAATTCTGTTATACTCAGATTATATTTCTGTTATACTCAATTATACTCAGATTATAATTCTGTTATAATCAGATTATAATTCTGTTATACTCAGATTATAATTCAGTTATGCTCATAATCAGATTATAATTCTGTTATACTCAGATTATAATTCAGTTATGCTCATAATCAGATTATAATTCTGTTATACTCAGATTATAATTCAGTTATGCTCATAATCAGATTATAATTCTGTTATACTCAGATTATGATTCTGTTATACTCAGATTATAATTCTGTTAAACTCAGATTATGATTCTGTTATACTCAGATTATAATTCTGTTATACTCAGATTATAATTCTGTTATACTCAATTATACTCAGATTATAATTCTGTTATAATCAGATTATAATTCTGTTATACTCAGACTATAATTCTGTTATACTCAGACAATTATTCTGTTATACTCAGATTATGATTCTGTTATACTCAGATTATAATTCTGTTATACTCAGATTATGATTCTCTTATACTCAGATTATGATTCTGTTATACTCAGATTATAATTCAGTTATGCTCATACTCAGATTATAATTCTGTTATACTCAGATTATAATTATGTTATACTCAATTATACTCAGATTATAATTCTGTTATAATCAGATTATAATTCTGTTATACTCAGACTGTTATTCTGTTATGCTCAGATTATAATTCTGTTCTACTCAGATTATGATTCTGTTAGATTGCAATTCTGTTATACTTAGATTATAATTCTGTTATACTCAGATTATAATTCTGTTATACTCAGACTATAAATCTGTTATACTCAGATTATAATTCTGTTATGCTCATACTCAGATTATAATTCTGTTATACTCAATTATACTCAGATTATAATTCTGTTATACTCAGATTATAATTCTGTTATACTCAGACTATAAATCTGTTATACTCAGATTATAATTTTGTTATACTCACATTATACTCAGATTATAATTCTGTTATACTCAGATTATAATTCAGTTATGCTCATAATCAGATTATAATTCTGTTATACTCAGATTATAATTCAGTTATGCTCATAATCAGATTATAATTCTGTTATACTCAGATTATGATTCTGTTATACTCAGATTATAATTCTGTTATACTCAGATTATGATTCTGTTATACTCAGATTATAATTCTGTTATACTCAGATTATAATTCTGTTATACTCAATTATACTCAGATTATAATTCTGTTATAATCAGATTATAATTCTGTTATACTCAGATTATAATTCTGTTATACTCAATTATACTCAGATTATAATTCTGTTATAATCAGATTATAATTCTGTTATACTCAGATTATAATTCAGTTATGCTCATAATCAGATTATAATTCTGTTATACTCAGATTATAATTCTGTCTTGCTCAGATTATAATTCTGTTATACTCAGATTATAATTATGTTGTCGTGAAAGGTTGTCTGTTGGTTGATATTGGAATCGTTTGCAATACAGTAGAAGGATTAATAAGTCTTTATTTTTCGCAAACTTGGTATTAATAAACAGAGCAGTAAAAGAAGAGGAGAAATTTATAATAAAGAAGAAGATTGGAGGAGTTGATCTTGGTTAAACGAGCGTAGTCGACGATGACTATAATTAATGGTTTTGTTTATTAGGATTGAATTTATATGAGTGAGGATTGGGTGTGTCTAAGATAAAATCACATGTGTAAAGAATTTAAAGTGTTTACTACGAAGAGATTAAAAATACATGTGTGAATACTGTAGGATTGTTTACAATTTAAAAAGAGAGATGATTTATGATACTATGAAATTGGTTAGAAGTTTTCGCGAAATTATAATTCGCGACACTCCCGAGGGGGGAGAGAAATTGTTTTAAGATGTAATTTTGAGAGAGTGATTTTGAGGTATATAGCTAAATGTACGGAGTTTAATAGGTGGGGTTTCTTCTTTAGTTATGAATTGAGTGTGTGGTGATTCTGTAGGGAGAGTAATAATGGTAGCTTGATTTGAATTTCGTTTTGAAGTATTACAAAGGAGGGATTGAACTAATTTAAATTTACACTTAATAATAACTAAAATAGTTAATATTGTCACGATAATTATACAGATAAAAATCAATTTCTAATGTGTTATCACGTTTTCAAATTCTTCTTCTATCGGTAAATCTTCTATCTCGATCGGTAGAACAATTTCATTGAATTCCTTTTCCATTTGTTTGATAATTTCTTCTCCTTCTTCAGAGATTTCTTGCCAAAAGAGTTCATCTTTCATTTGATGTGGTATTGAATTAATTGTTTTTTGAGTTTGAGTTAGGATTTCCAATTCTGCATTAATTCTCTCAATTTCAAACTTACTTATTAAATCTCCTT